TAGTTGGAGGCTTGTGGCTAGTGGTCTCCCCCAGGGGTCAGGACTGGGCCCAGCACTACTCAATATATTCATCAATGGCCTGGACGAAGGGCTGGAGTGTACCCTCAGCAAGTTTGCTGATGGTACCAAAGTGGGGCAAGGGACTGACACACCAGAAGGCTGTGCAGCTACCCAGAGGGACCTGGACATGCTGGAGAGCTGAACAGGGAGAAATTTAATGAAATTCAATAAAGGCAAGTGTTCCTACCCAGATGCAGGACTTTACAACCCCATGCATCAGTCCAGGCTGGGGGCTGATCTGTTGGAGAGCAGTTCTGGGGAAAAGGAGCTGGGAGTCCTAGTGGATAGCAGGATGGCCATGAGCCAGCAGTGTGCTCTTGCAGCCAAGAAGGCCAATGGCATCCTGGGGTGCATTAAGAGGAATGTGGCCATCAGGTCAAGGGAAGTCATCTTCCCCCTCTACTCTGCCCTGGTGAAGCCCCACCTGGAACACTGTGTGCAGTTCTGGGCTCCTCAGTTCAAGAAGGACAAAACTTTTGGAGAGGGCCCAGCACAGGGCTACTAAGATGATCAAGGGCCTGGCACACCTGTCATACGAGGAAAGGCTCAGGCAGCTGGGGATGTTTGGCTTGGAGAAGAGGAGGCTGAGGGGGGATCTTATAAATGCTTATAAATATCTAAAGGGTGGGTGTCAGGAAGATGGGGCCAGGCTCTTCTCGGTGGTGTCTGGTGACTGGACTAGGGGAAATGGCCACAAGCTGGTGAACAAGAGGTTCAACATGGAGATAAGGAGGAACTTCTTTATGATGAGAGTAACAGAGCACTGGAACAGGCTGCCCAGGGAGGTGGTGGAGTCACCATCTCTGGAGACTTTAAAGGCTCACCTGGATGTGTTCCTGGGTGATGTACTTTAGGTGATCCTGCTCTGGCAGGGGGGTTGGACTAGGTGATCTTTTGAGGTCCCTTCTAACTCCTAACATTCTGTGACTGTGAATCTGTGAAGCTGCTAAGTCCATGATCCAAAGAGGTGGTTTGTTTTTTTTT